TTTACGATGAGCAAGATCTTGGGCTAGGATATAAAATAATAAAAAGTGGACTGGTATGAGGGCTCAGGCCTGTAATCCTGCACTTTGGGAGGCCAAAGTGAGAGGACTGCTTGAGCTCAGATGTTTGAGACCAGCCTGCATAACATAGTGAGACCCCATCTCTATTCTATTTTTAATAATTATTTTTTATTAAAAAATATGTTAAGGAGCACACGTGTCAGATACAGTACACACAATTTTTCCAAGAAATCCTAGCCTAGGGCATGTGGTGAATGAGAAAGGTCACAAATGCTGAGAGCGGGAGAAAGCAGATAGAGAACATTCTGGACTTGTGACCTGCCTTGGAGACTTCTATGGAAAGGCAGCCTGAAAAAAAAGGCAATAGCTGTGGGTGGTTTGAGATAAAATTTGTGGTATGAGCAGTGAAAATGAGAGAGGAACTCCATCAGAGAGGAACTTAATTTGCCTTGATAGGACACTAACTTTCTTTATCGGAAGTAAAAATATAGATATTGCCACCCAATAAAAAGAAGAAAAACACCAACAGTAACAACAGTAATCACAGTGATGATATGAACTCTACAGATACAGAGACACTGGTGTTTTTTGTCTTGAAGGTTATTTTAAAGTTTCTTTTAAGAGGAGAACAACAATAAAATACAAAGTAAGAAAAAAAGAAAGGAAAAGGAGAGAAAAGATAGAAAAAGTGTGTGTGTGTGTGTGTGTGTGTGTGTGTGTGTATGAAGAAAGAGATAGGCAGTGAGAGAAAAACAAAGATAGACACAAATCAGGAAGGGAAAGAAATCTAAGGAGAGAATATATAAAATGATACTGGAAATGACCTCAGTGGGCCTAGTACCAGAGAGGGCTGGGCCCTTGCACCACAGAGGGAATGACTCCATATCTCAGATTTTTCAAAAAAGTTTTGATTCAATGATACTTCTTGTTTTCAGTAAAGGTAATGCATTCAATGGGCAGTTAAATGCCCTTTGATTAAGTTCTGTAAAAATCTCCATGTAAACAAAACTCATAAATAAAAAGAACCCTATGTTAGATCACCTGTCATCTTTTTTGGTTCTAAAAGAATGTTAGCTGCAGGGATGTCAGGACACCTACTAAAATGGCCATTGGGCATTGTAATGTTTATTATTATTATTATTTGCTAGAGATAGTGTCTTGCTATGTTGACCAGGCTGGTCTCAAATTCTTGGCCTCAAGTGACACCCCCTGCCTCGGCCTGCCAAAGTAGACACCGTAATTTTTGATATGACCAAATTCTGACTCATGAATGTTTGAGATATTTCACTAGGATGAAAGAAATCCTAAAAACCAACCAAACAAAAAACACCACTTTGGACACAGATTTGTCTCCATGGTTATGATCATTACCACACGACCTTTGCTGCCTTTAACTTTCTACCTCTCTCCAGACTCTCCCCCTCTACCTGTATAAAATGACTAAAGAGTTGACATTCCAAGGTGACCAAATCCTAGAGAACAAGTCAGTATTCAGATGCTGTATTCGAGAACAAGTCAGTATTCAGACTCAGCTCTTCCACAGAACTAACACAGGAAGCAGAAAGTCCCAAGGGTGACCCTAACTTCTCCTGACTGAATGCAAATGCTCCTTTTCTTCTCCACAGTTTTGGGGTGACAGGTGGGTGGTGACTTGGGGCAGGAGGCTGGCTGCTGGAGGTAGAGGCTGGACGGTCATGAGCCCCCGAGATTCTCTTTCAGTAAGGCCACACAAAGTCTTGCATTTGGAGTCAGTGTGTCATTTCTCACTCTTTCCTGCCAAATCCTTGAGTTTTAGCTACAGCTGTGGGGCTAGGGGACACAGGCTGAGAAAGGACTTCCACCATGAAGAATTTGCAGCAGTTGAGCTAACGTTGGGTGACTTCAGTTTGGAACTCACTTTGGCTCCTAAGTGCCACATATAATTCCAGTGGTTGGTCATAGAAGTAAGGGCTATAATTTTGTTTCAGCACCGAATCAGCATGGTTTGTGAAGCTTTTTTTTTAAACAACTGATCAGAGAAGTAACAATAAATGATAAATGGACATCAGGGGTGAGGTTAAGAAGTTCAAGCAGAAGTTTTAAAAAGAGCTGCCGGACCTACAAAAATCAGCTCTAGGCCTCTCATTAGGCGACTTGGGTGGTATCTAGTTCTCTCCAGAGGTAATTAAGGTTTTAACCTTTTTCTTTTGTAAGGGTCAGGGACTCCTGTGAGAATACTGAAGGCTCTTTAGACCCGTACTGTCCAATGGGTAACCACCAGCCACATGTGGCTATCCAACTTGAGATGTGAGATGAGTATTACAGACAATGGATTTAGAAGACTTGGTACAAAAAAAGACTGTAAAGCATCTCATGAAGGCTCCTTATCTTAGTTAAATACTACACTAAATAAAATATATTATTAAGATTACTTTTACCTGCTTCTTTTAGCTTTTTAAAACAACGTAGCTAGTGGAAAATTTAAAGTCATATGTGCCTTGTATTATATTTGTATTGGAAAGTGCTGGTCTAGACCCTTGCTCTAGAAAAATGTACATCTGCAAATATGCACACAGTCTGCATCTCCTTCTAGAAGGTTCACACACCCTTGGACACTCAGCTGTGGGCCACTGGGTCTGCAGGTCAGAGTCTCTTCTTTGGGAGAGGTGAAAGCGGCTATGGGAATGGGCTGCTTCCCTCTCTTTTGAAAGGGGAAGTTTCTGGTTAAACTTCTTTCTTAACAACGAAAGCCATGGGAAATTCCTTCAGAAACAAACCTTTGGTCAATGGGGAATGACATAGGCTCAAGGGATTTGCAGAAGGACTTCCTTGGGGTCAGATCCACAGGCCTCAGGTCAGCCTTCTGGACCCTTCTTGGCGATGCAGCATCCTACGGGAGTAGCTGTGGCCAGGGCTTGCATATACAACCTTCCTGATTTACCTGGGTATTGGCAGGAGGAGAAAACACTCATCAAACAGAGGACTATACTCCCAAAGGTTTTTTCTCTCTGAGTATGGAATACAATTTATATTTCTTTTGCTGTTGAATTGCAGCTATAATTTCAGTGGACTTAAGTTAGTTCCAATAACACTAAAATTTATGTTGGGCAAAGCTGACTTAAGGAGCCTAAGCCGACTAAGAAAAGCAAACACCTTTGAGATCAAGAATTCCATGTGGTGAGCTAGGTTCTGAAGGTATCCAGAGACTGAAAATTCTGTGACGAACAGATGTTTTTAAACAAGGCAAAATAAATCAACTCCTACATGGACTTAAAACTTCAATCATTTAGATTTTCATTCTCAGCAACATAGAAGCGCCAGACCTTGAAAGTCTGTCATTACACGTTACATGTCAAGTAACTCTGACTCTCTGAGCTATGAAGACTGCTTGCTCCATGCTACATGTCATGGTTGTCTGCAGAAAAATGGCAAAATGCTCAGCAGTGGCCCAAAAGCCCAAAGAACTTTGGGAATCATGTTGTTAAACACTTCTCTTCACAGATGGAGAAGTTGAGGCCTGGCAAGGGTATGGTTTACCCAAGGATTCCAGACTCCGAGCTCTCCTCAGTTCTCCCTGACTCTTTCCCACAGCTAGAGGCTGAATTTCATGACAAGAAGGGTTGGACTCCTAGAGGGATGAATCTTTCTGAAGGTGGTCATCATTTTCCTTGCCTTGTTGTCTACTTACAAACCATCAAATAGGAAATTGTTAAAGGTAGTGGGGGAAAAAAAGTGTTCTCCCTTGACCTGATGTCCATGTATCAGCAGGCAGCAGGGTTTTACAGCAGAACCAAACTCTGGTTTTGAATGAGTATTAGTCTAATGAGGTGGAAAAGCCCTCGTCAGAATATAAATACAACTCAGTGAGAAAAGCTTTCTTTTGTAGTTAATCCAAGCAGCAGTGCGGCCTTTGCCAACGGCTTAGAGACCAGAAGGCAACCGACCCATCTGATTGTTCAGAGAAGCTATTCACTACTTTAGTCATCTCTACCCCGATGGTCTGAATGTATTACAAAACTGCCCACTGGAAAACAAAAACAGCACATTTCTGTCATAGTCACAAAAAAGAAAGAATAGAAACTCAAAAACAATTCAAAAACACCCCTGGGTCTGAGTATTCATCTGACACCTCTTTTTCTTTCCCTCTTACTTTATCTCTGTCAGGATAAACTTGACTCAGCAAATTCCCATGCTGTGCTTTTTGGTTCAAACGATTCATCACATCACATCTCGTTCTTCACTTGGTATCTGGACATGCTCAGGGAGCTCTGGGAAGCAATACACTAAGGCTTTACCCAAATCCTTCCACGTGGTCTAGTGAGGTTCAACAGAAGTGCTGAAATTAAGGTAACAGCTAGCCGCTACTGCAGCAACTCACTGTGTTTGTCATAGGGCTTAGAAATGATTGGCTCTTTCTTGAAGGCCTCCGTCACTTGTGAACCCACTTCCAGAGGTAATCAAAAAAACTTGTCGAGTCCAGGGGAAACCAATGCAAGAGGCATTTGTTTTCAATGGGAAGATGCTGTGGTATCTGGTTTTAAAAGCAACACCACAGCCACCCAAGATAGGATGCCCTGGAGGGGACTTCTGGGTTCAGAATGTCAGCCAGAGACTGTAAGACCCCGCAGAATTGATCTGTTTCCCTATAGCTCCCTTCTCATGTCCAGAGGATGCTTAATAGAGCCTGGCAAGTGGAGGCCAGTGTGATGTAGCTTAAAATAATGAGCAGTGGCCTCAGCAGATTCAGAGCTTAGTGTTGGGGTCTCTGGCAGATGGGATTTTCAAGACCCACTTAAAAGAATTTCAATTCTTAATGAAAGCGGGTGTTAGTCTGTCTCAGGGTGCTGAGGCCCTTCTCAAAGCCATGTGAACTTCATGCTGAGAGGTCAAGACCATACATCTCAGAGACAGAATACCGACTGATCATAGCAGGAACTGGTGCATCTAACCAGAAACCTACACAAAAGTTGGAGTGGATCAAAGGAAAAACAAAGGAATAGATGGAAAGAAAACTACACATAGTCTTTAAAAAAAAATTGCCAAAGAAATCAAACAACATTGCAAAAACAAGAACAATAGGACCTGGAAAAACTGAAATAAAACTAAGAAACCCTAAGGTGTCCCTTCAGTCTCTGTTTTAGGAGCTTCGGAAGTGTACGGTGTCTGAGAAAATGGGAGTGGAATTCAACTTTCAACTTCCCGGTTGCCAAGGCCATAGGCTGCTGTAGAGATGGAGAAACTGCATCCTGGTTGACAAGACTTTGGATATTGCTTTTCGTGAGCATTCTTGACCCCAGTGCCCTGGAGTCACCAAGGTGTCCCGGAGGTGTGTGCCTGGTCCAAGTCTTGGAGCACTCCTCCCTTCCTTGCCCTTGGGTCCTGCTATCTCTTTTGTTCTGTATCGGCCATTTCAAGATTTCACCTCTTCGCAGTCTTGGTCAGTGGAAAGTTCTACATCAGACAGTCCGACCTCCATCGCCATAATTAATGAGATGTCAGAGTCGCTGCTTACAGCTGGTTCCTGCTCACCTGGGAGAAAAAGCAAAGTACACGGTAAACACTGAGATCTGTCTTTGGGTGCTGGTTATTTAAACACAATTGCTTCCAATAACAAGTCTTTAAAGGCCAAGAGAAGGTATTAGAAAAATTGGTTATTTTGGAAAAACTGTAGTTAAAGTCTCATATGGGTCAAAAAGTTAAATGTAAACAAAATAAATTAATAAAGTTAGAAAAAAATATCTTCTAAGGATACATTTAAGAAGCAAAATATAGACTTACTCTATCTAAGTAGGGCAAGAAATTCTATATAGGAAAGTAGTTGGGCAATTCACAGAAGAGATGGGTAAACAAGCACACAAGTGTTAAAATGTCAAAAACATAAAATAACATCAAAAGGCACACATCAACCTATCAAACTAGAGAATTTGTAAACATTTCATTAAGGATTTTATTCTTAATGTATAGAAGGCTTCTAAATCACTAAGAAAAATAGCCCAAAAGAAAAAGGGACAAAGGTTATTACCACTATACAATTCAGAGAACAGTGTAATATAAATGACCAATAAACACAAGGTAAAAAGGACATACTTCTTTTTGTCTATGTCATCTTCACTGTTCAAAAAAGATGGAATTGCAGTTAAGGGCACATTGAGGTAGGGATGTTGAGATATTACATGTAGAATGCTGAAATTTTTTACCTAGTAATTTTATTTCCAGAATGTATTATAGAGAAATCAGTAGAGATGCAAAAAAATATTCATTTAAGTATTATTTATAGTAGCAAACATCGTAGGTAACTTAAAGATCAACAATAGAGAACATCTGAATAAACTGTGTTAATTCTAAAGGTCAATTTTGCTATAACCATTGAAGTAAAGTTTCCAGAGAATTTGTAGTTACATGTATACTGTTAAGTGAAGACAGAAATACTCAAAGCCTTATGTGCGATGGAGCCAACAGAGAAAGTTAACTGGAAGCAGAGATACTAAAAATGCTAATAAGAATTACTTCTAGTTTGTGGATTTATATTTTTTCTTAAAACAAAATTCAGTTGTTTCAAGTGTTCTACAATGAACACATATCTCTCACTCATTCAAGACATATACTGCATCATTACTATATACGAGGAGGACCCCCCCAAAACTGGAATTATCTTTTTGAGGGTGGGCCCTTTATATTTCAGGCTTCCCCCTTAGGGGAGTGTTCTAGGAACCCATCGACATCTGTGTACCAGCCATCATTGTTGTGAGAGGCAATGTTCATCTTCAGTGAATTTTTTGGGGGAATTCTTTTCAATGCATTTGCCCATTTCATGATGGATGATTTGTGAACCCATCTGCCCACACCATGCGAATGTTCAGCAGTTTTTGGCGAAATACAGCATGATCCCCATGCCCCACCCTCCATATTCGCCAGATCTTGCCCCAAGTGACTTTTTTTGTTGTTGTTTCCCCGGATGAAAAAAGTCCTCAGGAAACATTTTGCCGATGTGGAAGAGGTAAAACAAAAAATGGCAGATGCACTAAAAGGCATCAAAATGGACAAGTTCAAAAACTGCTTTGAGCAGTGGAAAAAGCATCTTGATGAGTGTATTGCATCAAACAGAGTGTACTTTGAAAGTGACTGAAGTTTAAACATGTAAGAATAAATACACAACTTTTTAATAAATAAATGCTAAGTTTTCGGGGTCCTCCCTCATACAAAGCATTGTGCTAGAGACCAGGGATATAGGTGACAGTAAGACAATCCCTGTCCTCAAGGAGCTTAGAGTCTAGTGGGCAGGGTCTCCACCATCACCCAGGTAATGACAACACAGTGAGATTAAACACTCTGATGGAAGATGTGCCAGGTATCACAGAAACAGGTAAGAGGGCTATGTAACCATATGCTAGGTGCATGTCTAAACTGAGTCCTAGAATGCAATCTTTATTTGAGCCAGATGAATAAGATGGAATAGTCTTAAGCAATAGCGGATGCAGATGACTGGAGGTGATGAGGACAGCAGACATCAGAGGGTATTTAAATATGGCTGGAATGCAGAGTCAAACTAGGGAAGATGGAACGGAGGAGGCTGGAGAACCCAGCTATGTACAGACAGCCTTAAACCCAAAAAGTCTTGTGCACTCCACCACTCTGTAGACAAAACATGCCATGAAAAGACCAACAAAAATGTCTAAGTACTAAAGAATGAGGATGGTTAAAATACTTTTGTTCTGATCATCACTGATATAATATTTCTCATGTTGTGACACAGTTAAGGAAAATACATGCGTTTCATGAAGGACAATGAATTCTTAAGATGTTTTAAAGGAGACAAAGAGAAATATTAAAAGAGTTATGCTTGAAGAATCAGCTTGAGAGAAATGCAGTATTTCACAAGGAAACACCCAACCGAATGACTCTAAAATGTTTCCCAGATCCATACGTGCAGGAAGTTCATAGTAACGTAACAGATCAATGGTTAAAATAAAATTTTGGAAGCCGCGCTAGAAAGACACAAGTATTTAAAAACTGGCTGGGTGTGGTGGCTCATTCCTGTAATCCCAGCACTTTGGGAGGCCAGGGTGGGAGGATTGATTGAGCTCAGGAGTTTGAGACCAGGCTGGGCAACAAAGCAAGACCTTGTCTCTACCAAAAAAAAAAAAAAAAGATTTAACTAGGCATGGTGGTGCATGCCTGTAGTCTCGGTTACTCGGGATGCTGAGGTGGGAGGATTGCCTGAGCCTGGAAGATTGAGACTGTGGTGAACTGTGATTGTGCCACCACACACCAGCCTGAGTGACAGAGTGAGATCCTGACTTTAAAAAAGTAGCATTCAATGAGTATTCAGCACAACTAGTCATTTAGACAAAGATGACATTGGGTCTCTGCTTCTCTCTTCATAAGAAAATGCATTCATTCTAGGCTTGCTCTCTTTCTATAAAATCTCCCATCTTGGTCAGGCTCGGTGGTTCAGCCAGTAATCCCAGCACTTTTGGAAGCCCAGGCAAATGGATTGCCTGAGACCGCAGGTTCAAGTCCAGTCCAGGTAACTTGGCAAGAACTCGTCTCTACAATAAATAAAAAATTAGCCGGGCATGGTAGCATGTGCCTGTAGTTCTGGCTCATTGGAAGGTTGAGGTGGAAGGATCGCCGGAACCTAGCAAGTTGAGGCTGGTGTGGCCGTGAGCGTGCCACGGCACTCCAGCTTGGGCGACAGAGTGAGACTCTGATTCAAAAAAAAAAAAAGAAAAAGAAAAAAGAAAAACAATCTCCCATCTTCGCTTTGTGTGTGTGCACTTCCTTTTCATTTATCCTCTTTTCCAGAGCCATCTGGTGCCTTCAATCTCTGACCTTTGGAGAATTCTCATGTGCAAACTAGGATGACTCTCTCTTTTCCCCTGGTTGCTTTGTGCTTGTTCTCTCAGCAGGGCCGTGACTTGCTGCTGTGCAGGGTGTGCACTGCACCACTCTAGAGCATACCTTCACTCAGGAGTCTGAGCGCTCCTTGGCCCCTGGAGTCGGGCAGGGTACAACCTGCACAGCCAGCCACAGGAGTTCATTCTGTGTCTCCAGCCTACTAGAATGGTCATTGACTGTTCATCTATTTTTTTTCCTGGCTGCCCAGATTTTGTTATTGTCTCTTTTTGCATTTCCCCTGTCCAAGTTGGTCTCTGTCTTTAAAATAATACCTTCACTGTGGTTTTTGTGTGGTTGCAGGAGAGAATAGACTGGGAGCAGCTTCATGTGGTAGATCTGCTGATTTTACTCAGGGTTTTCATTATTTTTACAATGAGAACAAAATATATGTCTTTAAAGCTACACTGAGGAGAACTGGGAGTCTTTCTTACTTTGGGCAACGTTCTTGTCTTTGCTGTCAGTCATGATATGCGGTAACTTTGTATAAATCGCTTTTCTTCTTTAGGGCTAAAGTTTAATTGTAAGATGAAAATTTGAACTGGATGCATTAGAGTCCTTGACAGTTATTTATATATGTATGTGTCAGTCTAGCACAAGGCCTCACCCATGGTGGGTTCTCATTCAATAATAATAATTTTTTGAGTTGGGGGTCTCACTCTGTTGCCCAGGCTGGAGTGCAGTGACAGGATCATGGCTCACTGTAGCCTCGACCGCCCCTGGGCTCAGGAGATCCTCCTGCCTCACCCCTCTGAATAGCAGTACTACAGGTGAGAGCTATCACACCAGGCTCATTTTTAAATTTTTTGTAGAGACGCAGTCTCGCTATGTTGCCCAGACTGGTCTCGAACTCCTGGGCTCAAGCAATCCTCTCTTGCCTTGGCCTCCCAAAGTGCTGGGATTAGAGGTATGAGCCACCACGCCTGGCAAAAACAAAAATTATTTAATAGAATTACCACTGAGAAAAAAAAGTTGTCTTTTTCGAACAATCCTCCATATTATTTTTATTACTTTTGTCCTATGTAAAGAAGAGGACTGCTGATTGGATATTTAGCACAAGTATGCACGAATGGGAGAATTCACTCCTTGGAGATATAATGAAAGCTGAAATCTAATTCCTGTAGATGAAACATGAGAGCTACTGTGTAGGGAATTTCATCTCCATGTTTTCTTTTCTTGCAATAGCCCATCAACCAATTTAACTCACGGGAAGCCAACATTTTCAGTTCACAATTAAACTGGAAGTCAAACAAAGAGTTCATCATGGAATGATTTCATGACTTTCATCTGGATCTAGTAACAAAAGGAAGCGGGGATCAAGATGGACTTAGTTCCAGTTCTGTAGAGACAGAGCTGCTGCCGCCTGCAGTGACAACCCCTCACCTTCACGCCTGGCTTTACAGCCACCAGGTGCAGATTCATTCATACCCCTGGTGTTTTCTCAATGGGAATGTGTACATTGAGAGAAAAGGGAGTGCTGTGACTAAGGGCTGCCAAATTCACATTGTCACTTTGGAAATTAAGACAGTCCTGCACAGCTGAAGGCAAAGGTGAATTCAAGTCAATAAAAATAGAGAGATTTGGCCAGCGAGGTGGCTCATGCCTGTAGACCCAGCACTTTGGGAGGCTGAAAC